TGGTGGTGTCGTGCTTGAACTCGCAAACTCCTTCTTGGATACCCAACATCTTACCGCCAAGGCAACACGCAAGAACAATAAACATGCTTTTAGATAATTTTTAGTTGTTATTTTGCGTCAAAATTACATGCACAATAGAGGGAGTTGCTTAATCTAACATGTTTTTGCGTTTTTTTTTTGTATTTTAGCAAAATATAACGGTTAGTTTGTAACAAAACCGTATATATAATAATTAAAAAACCATTCACTCTTGAGACAAATATTGTAGATATCTGAGCAATATTTTTAAATGTTTTAATTAAACAATATTACCAATCAGACATTATATTATTTTTCAACAAAATATTAATCTTTAAAATCACTCATAGATACACGATACCTTGGGGAAAATCCCATAAACAAGAATTGATAAGGGATGATGCACAACCCAACAACTCAAATACGAAAACAAAATAGAATCTTTTTAAAAGCTGGGTTTTTTGCTCTAATTCAAGATACTTGAGTAGGCGTTTATTAGTTGTTTTTCTTAAACACTTTTTAGGTGTTGTCGTTTTGATATTGTAAAAATAGGTATGCCCATTTCCCCCTTGTAATTTCTCTTTATTTTCAATAAAATTTTCCTGAGGTTCCGTCCCCTTTTCCCAAAAAAACAAAATAGAATGTCAAGGATGGTCGAACAAAGGTCCACAAGATCAAGATCAGCACAAAATGCTAGCAATTACAAAATACAAATGCACATATCTCTAACGTGATTTCACTATCAGTGTGATAATGTATATTCATAGAGAAACATATGGCATTTCTGTATTGATAATGGGATTCTTACTTTACAATAATTTCTTAATTAATGTTTGATGAAACCTCGGTACGGACTCTCAAAAATCAATAAATGCGAAGAGACTCACAACTTACATATGAGTCATGTTTATCAGTTTCTTACATATCACCCAAAAATAAAAAATACCATGTAACTGATTAAATATTGTTTAATAAATTTGATACCATAGAAATTAGTAGTATATCAAGTCAATTTGGAGAAGTCAACTACAAAATATCGAGTGGTTAGAATTTATAACAAGTCAACATCAGTGGGTCGATGATGTGAGTTGAAATTAAATACTTGCAATCAACTCAAACAAACGAAAGGAAAAAATTGGTCTGGAAAAGAAGACAAAACAAAGTATGTCTCATCATTAATATATAACAGTTACCAAATAATTATTCAGATGCAAAAATGCAATGCTAGACTAAGGAGGTGTATGGTAAGAAGTATTAATCAGTAATTAATGAGAATGCAAATTAAAGAAACTGTTTGTTTTTATAATATAATGGGTTTATTACTCCAAAAACCCAAATTTTAAGGTTAAATTGAGTGGAATGAAAATTCATTCATATTTTCATTCTCTGTCATTTTCATTTTCATACCTATTTTCATTCATCTCCTAAACCAAACGCCGCCTAAGGATATCAACAAACAATAACTTATACCGAACATGGTTGAGCTTCAATTTCTTCGTATTCATCAATAGACCGTATTCTTAAATATACTTGAAATATAATCAATGACGAAATACAATATATGATTATATTCACAAGTGACAATGAAAATATGTCAGAAATACATAATTAATCAACCGGTTCAATACTTATGCACATACTTGGATCAAAGATCATGATTAGATTATGAAAATTAAAGATTGTGACAGGGATTTACTTCTTATGGACGAATGTGGATTGCAATGTCATAAAAACAGTTCGTTCAAATGAGTAAAGATAATCAGTACATGAAAATAATATGTTGATCAGTATTTCTAACTAACGTTGTCGTCTTCATCAACATGAATTACGAGCACATAAACTGTTGTAGACGTATAACAATGTCCCACAACATATTACAAAAGTTGTTGAATTATTAATATCATTCTTTTTTAGTCTAATAATAAATAAATAAAAGGGCAAAATGCGTGAAATAACAACACACTTTTACAAATTTACTTATTATAACATTCTACTTTTAGTTTTTCTTATTACAACAATGTACTTTCAAAAAAAAAATTATCAGGGCATCATACTTTCAAAAATTTACCCGTGAAAGCATTGGGTAACTTTTTAATTAAATTTACACATTATATCAGGTTTCTTTGCCACCTCATCGTCCACGTAGGCTGTCCACATGTACGATAATGCTGACATGACATTTCTTATTATAGCAATGTACTTTCAAAATTACTTTATTATAACATCATTAATTTCTATTACATCATTGTATTTTTAATTTTAATAATTTTATCGTTTAAACTTTGCAAATTTAATCAAATGTGTTTACTAAAAATTATAATATTAAATTGTACCGGTGATGCTTGTATGTAACACCCAGATTCACGTTTGCGTATAACCAAGTATTTCATATATCAAGAAATACAAATTTACATATTCGGTCTCAAATATACAAAAGCTACATTATAAAAGTAGCTAACAAACTTTTCCACAAAATCCATATACAAAACTTGTATATATAACAAGTATTTCAAAAAGACCACAAATAAACATGATGTCCTCCACATCCCATGTAATCATATAAGACATCTCACAATTTCCCTTACATTGAGCCCGACCTGTAATGCACATTTTTGAAACACAAAATGAGGGTCAGGCCTTGAGGTCTAGTGAGAAATCCCTTTTATGTAATTACAGGGTGAAAATCACCAAATCAAGTTTATAAATCCATATTTGTAACACTAACTTTTAGGATTAAAATTGTCCTAAATATCATGAAGATTTTATTAAAGCAATTTGGGCCAAGTATGAAAGTTTGTAGATTTATCTTCAAAGATCTAAAAAACAAGTCTTCAGACTTATCTTTAGAGATTTGAAATGTGCTTACAAGATTATGTCTAAATCTCCAGACTTATCTTCAAAGATCTGAAATGTGATTACAAGACTAAATCTAAATCTGCAGACTTATCTTTAGAGATTTGAAAAACAAGTCTTCATACTTATCTTCAGAGATCTGAAAAAGAAGACTTCAAACTTATCTTCAGAGATTTGAAAAACAAGTCATCAGATTTATTTTTAGAGATCTGAAAAAGAAGACTTCAGACTTATCTTCAAAAGATTGAAAAAGAAGACTTCAGACTTATCTTTAAAGATCTGAAAAAGAAGACTTCAGACTTCGGATGAGCTCAAACACACAAGTGTAAGTCTGAAGAGATATTCTTCAGAGTTATTTCAAGAGAGAACCTGATTAGCGTTAAGTGTCAAACCTGAAGACGAAGTCTGAAGACCTTGAGTTCAGAATTATTCTAACTCTGAACGAGAGGATAATGTTGATTCTATAACAACCTATTTGCGATAAAGATTATCTTTCCATGGGTCTGGATAATTTTTCTAAGGTTCAAATGAACAACCAGAGTCCTTCTGGTCAACTAGAGCCCCTCTAGTAAATAAAAGACCATCTAGTCTTAAAACAAGTTCACTTCATTTCATCAATAGGATGCGACAACCCAAATCCTCGCATTACACATATGTGATAACTCAAGGTCATCGCATATAAGGATGCGATAACAAAACCCCATGATAAAAAATATCATCATTCCTATAAATTGATTATGCCTCTCTTATCCCAATATACTCGGCTCTTGATTATGCTACCCCTATTACAAGAATATACACAACTCTTAATGATGTCACCCTTATTACAAAATAATACCCAACTCCTGATTATGCCACTCTTATTATGAAATAATACTCAACCTCTTGATATGTCACGCTTATTTCCACACATGATATAATCATGACAAAACCACCATTTTGCCAATAATAACATCAAAATAGTTTCATAACAGTAACTCATATAAAGAACCATACGGTTTCATACCAGTCTCACCATCATGCTAAAATAGCATCCAAAAATAGTTTTATCATCATTCTCATGTAAGAACCATACAGTTCAAATTTCAAATACCAAATAAGGAAAGTTGATAAATTTAAACTCACCTTATGTTCACGTAGATGAAGATGAATTAATACAGCAACAAATTTCAAGTAGAAATCACAGAATCAGTTTTTCCCCCTTACAAGTCTATTTACTTTTCATCCAAGAGAACACACACAGAAAAACTTTCTTATCCTTCTTACTTACTTTTTTTCACCTCCCAATGAGGAGATGGAGTTCAAAACATTTTAAGCAATTAACACATTAAACCCCCACTTACCATCTCCTTTAAAAAACAACCCCAATCAATATAACTGAGTAACCCGGTTATCACATTATATGTGTTAGCTATTTTGATTTGTTTACAAAGTTTTTAAGAGAGAGTGTTTTTTATTTAAAAATATATAATATTTAATTTAACAAAAAACTTACATAATGATAAAAAAGATTAAATTTCATTTACTGTTTGATATATTATTGCATATATGTTAATGCTAATTTTTTTTAGCGATTTGGTGTTTTTTGCCTTCTATAATATGTCAGAAAATAAAAATAAAACAATATTATAATCTTGAATAATATTTATTATAATTTTTAGTAAACATATTTGCTTAAATTTAGAATGTTTAAAATTATAAAAATATTAAAATTAAAAGTATAATATTGTAATAGAAACTGATGATGTTATAATAAAATAATTTTGAAAATACAATATTATACTAAAAAATGTCATGTCAACACCATCGTACATATAGACAGCCGACATGGACCAATGAGATAACAAATAAACCTGGTATAATGAGTAATTTTAATTTAAAAAGTTACTCAATATTATAACAAGTAAATTTTTAAAGATACAATATTTTAATAAAAAAATATTTTAAAAATATATTGTTGTAAAAAAAATTAAAAATAAAATACTATAATAAAAAAATTTATAAAAATAGATCGTTATTTTCCAAATTTTACCCTCCATGAAAATATAGTAAATTTTGGTTGAAGTTTTGGATATTTTTTATTGAAGTGACGTCGCATTCGCAATTCTTCATCGAGCCCTAGAGCGAGCCTCCACGTCGCGTAGACTCGTCACGTTTCAACTTCCTAGATTCGAGAGAGATGAGAGAGGGCCTTCGATTCTACAATGGCGAAGTACTGCTAGGGTTTATGTTGGGTTTATTGTACTTATGTGATAACTCAATCGTTCCAATCCGAGCTTCGATTCATGAGTATCAGAACGAATTCTTCACTCCTCAGTTGAACGCTTTCCTCTTTCATGGCGGCAGTGAAGGCATCTTCGCTTCCAAACTTCACCATGATCAAGATAATCAATCTTCACTTCTTTCTCCAGGAAATAAACCCCTCGAAGGGAAATCCTTCATCAGGTTATATCTTCAACTTGATCTTGATTTCTAACTGATAATCAAGTAATCAACCCCAAAGAAATTAGTTGTCAATCCAACTCCATACATACGCTTTATCGTTCCTATGGGTTTATTGACTGATTTGTGAAGACACCATAGAAATGTTATGTTAGTCCTTAAGAGTAGATGGATCAGTCTTAATTGTGAACATTTTTTTTGTGTGCTCAACAGCATCATATATTGAAATTATTACTGTTACATGTCACTCCATTAGGTAAAGAGATTAAATGAACAAAAAACTGATCATGTAATTCGAAATAATACCTGATGGTGCTTCCACTAAGGATCCTTGCTCACTACTTCAGTTGAAGCCTAACCCTTCTTAGCATGTGCTTAAAATGATTTAATCCGAAGACACTTCCAAGACAACTAGTTCTTAATACTGATTGTTCATTAGACTTCCATTTTTTCTTTATAACATTGGATAGCATGAATATGGGTTAACTGTTAACATGACTCAGGTTGAATGGTTTGAAAAGCACTTCTGTAATTGCTGCAATTGTACGTAAAGGCGTTGTGATTTTCTTTTTCTTTTCCAATGGCCAGCCACCATCTATCTCTCCGCCTTCAACTTTCTATGATAGTCCAAAACACCAAGTTTTTTAGCTGTAGTGAAACTTCTGATGGATGATATATGCTGCTAGGATCTTTGGGACTTGATTCATGCATATGATGATATGATACATAGTGTTTTCATAACATTTTGGGATTACATAGATTCGTGACTATCATGTATTCATCTTTGTGATCATGTGTATGAATAATCCATGCAAATAAAGACTGGCTTGCAGTGCCAAACATGTTGTAGGCAGCATCTTTAATATCTCTAGTTCTCTTCCTTTGTATCTATGTGCAGGCAAGGTTGGGGTAGGATGCCAATAGCTGTCTGTTAAGTCTACTGGCTTATGGTTGTCACAGAGCTGTGACATTCTACTCCTGTTTGAATACGTCATTTTCATATGCTGGATACTTGAAACATAAAAGTTATATAAATTTGAATATAAAGAAAAAGTAGGAGAATGTTTTTGAACACTAAGACTGAATCTTCTCATTGCGGGTAGCTGGTTAATAGGAATTATAATGACATTCTGTTCTATCTGTAAAAAATTTATATCCATGATATAGTTCAGCATGGTTATTAATTTTGTGGCACATTACATAAATTTATATTAATTTTGAGTTGAAAGAACATGGTTTGACTGTGGTTCAGATAATGCATCTAAAAGCTCTATCATGCTTAGGGGTGGGAGTGGAATGATAGAAGCATACTGTATATTTCATTCTGACTCTTGGGTGATTCATCTGTTCTCTTGAAGGTGACACTTTCAAACCTGAAATGCCATCAATGTGGGAGGATTTCATGTTTTTTTATATACCAAATTCCATTTTCATGTATCGACATGGTTGATCATTTTGAAATTTAGGAGTGGGGCGCCTTTTGCCTTATTATAGCCATAGTTGGAGAGAAATTGTCGACATTGAAAGATAACTCTTTTATTCTAGTAATATTTTAGTATTTATCTTTCCTAATAGGCTACCTTTATCCCTTCGTTTTTCTCCCCCTTTTCCTCTCACTTTTATGTGGACAAGATAGCAAGAATCTCTTGCCAGAATTAGTGTACAAGCTACTTGTAGATTTAGGTTTTAGTTATATGTCATGGGAGATGCTTAATTGAGATCGTATGATAGATCAGATGATTGTATTTGGGTAAAAAGTTGATTACTGGCAACCCTAATCTGTCCCTCATGGAACCCACCTCTATGGACACCAATGTGAGGGGGCATTTTTTGGCTCACTCAGCAGCTGAAGCTAGCGGAGGAGGCCTAGGATGTCTTGTATTTGGGCAAAATCACTCCATCCCTTTGCCAACTGAGCTACATGCCAGAAGCTAGATCAGATGATTGTATTGTATACATATGATTAACTGTTTCAACAGTTATTCATGACAGAAACAGTAGCCTGTCTCATGTTTCTGTTACCATTGTCGTATTATGATCTTATTATGGACCTATAAGTATATTTTTGGTAGTGGTACTAGTCTTTACTGATATTCTTTAATGTAACAAATCATGGTGAAGCCATGTGTTGTACAACTTGTGATAAAACTCAATACAAGAAGTGCCATGTTAGCACTTCACTAAGTTTCACCAAATCATATGGTATACTAATTTAAGCGTCTCATAATCATGCATAGTGACATCAGATGCATAAAAGTTGACCTAGTTGCAGCAATTTTTTTTAACTTTGAGAGGATTGGGAGGGCAGTTTTTGTACATAATCTCGACCCTTAACTCTAGGGCTACCTATCTTCTTATATTAAAAAAAGTGACCTTATGAGTTGGCCCCAAGGCTCCCTCTTATGCTTAATATGCATTAAGCAAACTGCCAACATGACAAACATAATCATAAACCATTTGTATGTTCGGCAACCATATTTTCCCCTGTGTCTCAATTGTTCATTGTGTTGGAATGTTTTCTTGCTCGTCTGATAATATTCAATAGTGAGTAAGACTTTAAATTTTTGGCGGAGATAGTTTGACTCTGTTGTAATGGGAAATGAGGCTCTCTTTTTTTTTTTATCTCTGCTATTCAGTCCTATTCTTTGAATGGGTTTGTTGATTGCAAGTAATTTCAGATCGAATTCACTGATGTTATTGCAGGTTTGATAGTGTTACCTTCAAGAGGACAGATGAATCAGCCAAGACTCAAAATGAAATGCAGAGTAAAACTGGATTAATTGAAGCTATTATATTTGAGGTCAAAGATACAGAAAGGATTGGAGGGAATTTTCTAAAAAGTAATTCTAATGTCTTATGTTGCAATCCCAAGCTCGCCGCAGATGGGTCTTGCAATCTAGGAGAGGTTATTATTCAAAAAAATGACGACAACCCTGAGTGGCCTAGACGCATCCAGACCTTCTTTGCAGGAAAGGATCGAGAAGCTAAAATGTCTACTCAGTCAGTTGAGATAAACAAAACTGGAATGTATTATCTTTACTTTATGTATTGCGACCCACAACTCAAGGGTACAACTATTACTGGAAGAACCGTATGGAGGAATCCAGATGGTTATTTGCCTGGGAAGATGGTCCCTCTAATGACCTTCTACGGAGTCATGTCTTTGGCTTACCTTGTTCTTGGGCTTGGTTGGTTTTTAAGGTTCGTCCAGTTTTGGAAGGACATAATGCAGTTGCATTACCACATTTCGGCTGTAATTGCTCTTGGGATGTGTGAAATGGCACTTTGGTATTTTGATTATTCAAATCTTAGTGCAACTGGAAGTAGGCCGGTGGGTATTACGGTGTGGGCAGTAACCATTACTGCTGTTAAGAAGACTCTTTCTCGCTTGCTGCTTTTGGTGGTTTCAATGGGCTATGGTGTGGTGAGACCTACACTCGGTGGTGTGACTTCAAAAGTGTTGATTCTTGGTCTGGTATACTTTGTTGCTTCTGAGGCCCTTGAGCTTGTGGAACACTTGGGAAACATCAATGATTTTGCTGGAAGAACCAAGTTGTATTTGGTGCTGCCTGTTGCATTCTTGGATGCCTGGTTTATTTTATGGATATTCTCATCTTTATCCAAGACTTTGGAGAAGCTTCAGGTAATGTTTTTCTTACAAGTCCTGCCCTTTCTTACTCTGCTTCTGAAAAACGATGGTTCTGTTTGCATTGATCTTATAGGTAGTATTGGATGAATCTGTGAAGTATGTGACACTAGGGCATTTGTGAGGAGGGTTGAATTCAGTCAAACTAGGCAGAATTTTTGTGATGGAAATTATGCGTTCTTTTAAAAAATTGCACGAAAATGTGACGTACTTTGGTCCGATTTCTTTTTTGTATAACGTACTTTCAAAACCTTTGTTTTAGTATCTCTGTTGTGATATCTCAAAACATTTAGGTCCCTAGTTTACCTTTGAGATTGCATTAAAATGCAACATACTTTGGTCTGATTTCTATTTTGTGTAACGTATTTTGGTCTAGATATTTGAGATTTCACATCTAAAGTACCAAAATGAAGGTTTTGAGAAGTACATGACAGAATAGGAATCAAACAAAAGTATGTTGTGTTTTCATGCAATTTGCTCTGAAAAGAACAGTACGAATCTTCATAAATGCTTTGTTAACTTATCGTATTCCTCACTGTTATTTGCTTCACAAACATGAACTCATCCAATGGACAACACTGCTTGTTTTTTTAATACGAGGTTAAATCGGTATTCCCGAGTTTATAGACACTAAAAAGTAAGTAGTGTTTTACTAACTTTTAGTAATATAATTTTTATTAGAGGTTGTGGCCTTGTGAGTCTACAGTAATCTCTTTGATCAAGCTGCCTGTTTAGGAGGCCAAGTTTGTTACTTCTCTTATCTCCATACATAAATGATACAAAATAAACACACAGTTGGCCCTATATCCTTCTATCTTTGTCCTATAATCGTTGTTGTTGTTATTATTATTATTATGCTTTTTAGATGCGGAGAAGTATTGCTAAACTGGAGGTTTATCGAAAATTCACAAACGCCCTTGCACTTTTTGTGCTCCTGTCTATTGCTTGGATTGGCTATGAGGTACTGTTTATCTTGTCGTTCTGGTGGGATTTTGTTTGTTTTTTGTCGTCTTTATTCTGCTAATTATGTTTTACTTTTTATAACGAGTGCTGCAGCTATACTTTAATGCAACTGACCCAATAAGTGAGCTATGGCGTATCTACTGGATCATTCCAGCTTTCTGGTCATTATTTGCCTTTTCCCTCTTGGTAGTGATATGCATCCTTTGGGCTCCTTCTCGCAATCCCACGAGGTAGTCTATCGGTCGACATCTTTTCCCTCTTTTTCCTTATTTTGTATTTGTTGTGCCTTTTTAGTTTTTTAACTTAAACACATTTGGGGCACATATGGTGCATAGGATAGGACAATACAAAAACTTGCCCCATGTTTGGTGCGATGTTAGACTGGGACAGGACAGGCGCTGGGTGGGAGAAAAAAATTGTTTTTCTATCCCACCAAAATAGGTGGAACAAAAATAAAAAAGGAGATAAGATTGGTAAATTACTAAACTACCCATGTCAAATTAAAACCCTAATACCTCCCATAATTCTTTCACATGCCTAACTCACTCTTGCCTGTCTAGTCCTATCCAGTGCCGTTCACGTGTCATACGCGCTCTTAAGGGATGTATGGTGCACTTGGAAGTTGGAACAAACTCTCCGTTCCATTAGAGTTGCTACAGTCTCCTTTTACGATTTCTTTTTGAATTTATGGTCGCTTTTATGTTGTCATTATTGAAGGATAAGCATTTTAAAATCTACTACTTGCTTCTTGTGTAAAAACTCACTATGTTGATTAGGGTCTACACAATTCTTTTTCATTGTAATTACCGAAGGGTATTTTTTGACACCCCGTTCACCAACAATTACTACTTGTCATTATTGCATAGAACTTTGGACTAGCCCCCCGTGGGCGGCAGGAGAGGGGGGCGTCATGGAAACCTGCTCTATTTGTGTGTTTCAAATGTTGTTGCTTTCTTTTAACCCATTTTTCAAACCTGCTCTATTCGTTTATTATATCATTCTTGAGGGAAATTTAAACAATTTCCTTTTGTGGTAAACCTTTAAGTTACAATTACTTGCTCATCCGCTACCGTTGTGTGGGATATATGGGATTCGTGTGGTTTGGTTCCTTTAAGTTGCAATTACTTGGCCATTGTTACTCCAAAGAATTTATGATATTGATTTGGGTCTATTTTTATAAGTTATTTAAATTTATCATTATTGAAAAGTATTCGAGACATTTGGTTGGTAGTTAACAATGTTTTCCTTTTCTTGTTTGGGTTTTAGATATGCATATGCAGGGGATACGGGAGATGACTACGATGAGGAGGCGATATCGCTGACCACCGGAGTGAAAGTGGACGGTGGTGAAGTCGGAACGATGATGGAAAGGAAGGAAAAGAAAGGTTCCGCATCAACGGACCATCTTATTGGGCTAACGGAAGATCTAGCAGAAGACAAACGAGAATGAGGTTTGATCGATTCTTGTAAAGTTTGTGCCATGTATGTATAAAAACGTGCCTAACCCTACAATCGTCGTTACACGTTTCATGTTCCGACGGAGTCGGAAGTTGTGGAGTGATGATGGAAAGTGTACTTGCTAGTCGACTTGACTGTCTTTTAAATGACTACACAGAAATGAGAAAAAATGGTCACTTGCAGACTGGTGATGGCAGTATTATATCTTCTTTTTTGTCCCTGTGGTTTGTTAAAAATTTCGATTTTCGTCTTTTTTTTATTAACTTGAATATCCAACCTGCTATGTGAGCTGACTAATCCCAGAGCGACCACCTGCTTTGCAGATAGTCCGGAGTCACCGCATTTGAACCTTCGTGGCCACAAGGAGATTTTTATTCCTCCTTGAATTTGAACTTGAGATCTTCTGGTACTTTTGACCTTTGGAGTCAAGCTCAAACTAATCAGTCACCACCTTTGTGGTTGATTTTCGTCTTTATGGTTTAGAAATTGTGGTTCTCGTCCTTATGGGTTTATAAGTCATTGTTATTTTCGTCCTTTTGATTTTTAATTTATTGTTGTTTCGGTTGTTGTGGTTTACAAATTCTTTACTTTTTTGGTCTCTTATACTTAAAGGTAGGAATTAGACCATGGACAAAAATGATAACAAATTGCAAACCAAAGAGACAAAAATTCCAATTTTTAAACCATAGGAATGAAAATAGAAATTATAAATAAACTAGAGGGACGAAAATTGTAATTTACTCTATTTTTTTAAATGTTGGTAATTTTTGGGCAAATTTATGTATTTTGATCTGATTCTTATTTTAGTATACTAGAAGAATACTCGTGCAATATATTGAAACATATCTTGATTTCAATGTTTTGTTTTATTCCTTTTTTATGTTCATATAATACGGTTTTATGTGGTTTAAAAAAAAGATAATGTTTTTATTTTTGAATAAAATATAAATTTGATTATAATTTAATTTAGGTTTAGTGACAAAGAAATTTAATAATATAATTTTTTTATAAAGATAATAACTAAGTATTATGTTATAACTTAATGATTATCCTAATTATATTCTAGATTTTTAATATTTAATATGAGATGTTTATTTAATATTTAATATGAGATGTTTATTTAATATTTAATTATGTTTATCCGTAGTTAGTTACACAAATTCAAATATAGAGCTTTAATAAGTTGTACTTATGCACAATTTACTTGTAACTTTTACTTTTAAGTAATATGCATCAATAAACAGTACTTCACGCATAAAAAATGATTTTCAAGAGTTTTTGTCAAATGTTTTATAATATAGTATAGATTAGATGTGATATCTCAAACATGGTGCATGGTTTACATATAAGAGCATGAAATTGCAATATATTTTGATCAGATTCTTATTTTGTGTCATGTTTTGGTCTAAATATTTGAGACATCATATATGAGGTTAAATTTAAGGGCTTGTAAGTATGTTTTATTTTTATTTTCATGTAATTATGACACAGTGTTTTATATTGTTGATTGCTTATTATTAAAATTAACAGGTGGGCTGAGTAGGACAAAAATGGTGTTTAATCGGGCTTTTATATCGTATTATGGGGGTGTTTGGGATTGCTTATTTAAAACAACTTATGCTTTTTCGTAAAAGTGCTTATTAACTTATGTAGTATCAAACCGGAGTTAAATAAAACAGGGTTAAAATTGTAAACTGGTAATAAGCAGTTTTTCATAAGTCAGGAAGAATTAACTTATCAAAACAACTTATTACCGGTTTGGCACCGGTATAAGCAGTTTTTTACTTCTTATCCAAACACCAGAAAACAACTTATTACCGATGTCAGACTGAAATAAATTAAAAAGCAGCTTTTATAAGCGATCCCAAACACCCCCTATATATAAACGATTCTTTTCCATTTTTACTCGAGGGTAAATGATACCACACAATGTAAATTATGCTATATATTAAAAGCTAACAAATAAGACATTAACAATGTAAGAAAAACCGAATATCGCGTTATGAAAACCGCCATTAGGCCATGGTGTGCCACAGGCTTGACATAGCATCAGACACAAGTTTTGAGCCACGACATGCTATGTTGACTTCCATTAAGACGATATATCTATACTATATTATAAAGCATTTGACAGAAACTCTTAAAAAACATTTTTTATACATGAAGTACTGTTTATTGATGCATATTACTTAAAATTCAAGATTACAAGTAAATTGTGCATAAGTTTAACTTATTAAAACTCTATGTTTGAATTCGTGTAACTAATTGCGGATAAAAATAATCAAATAGAGGATAAACATCTCATTTTAAAATATAAAAAAACTAAAATATAATTAGGATAATTATTGAGTTCTAACAGAATATTTAATTGTTATCTTTATAAAAAAATATTATTAAACCTAAATTAAGTTACTTAATTACGATAAATCTATACTATCTTATTAAGCAAATTTAACAAAAGTCTTAAAGTCTTAAAATACTAAAAGACCAAAATACTCTTTATACTCACTTTTCACTTTTTTACTTGTTCACCCCCTTCTCTCCTTACATACACCCACCCTCTCATAACCATTATTTTTAAATTATAATTTTAAATTTACGCTTTATACCCTTATAATTAATTAATTAATTTACTTTACGTCCTTTACTTTTAAATGTTTCATTTTAAACTTTTATCAAATTAACATACATAATCGTATATCAATTAAAACATATTTAAAAAAATATATTTTTATTTTAGCAAGTTACACCATTATAATCGTCTCGTTAATACCTTCGAAATGAGTCCAATATTGAATAGTTTTTGACTTARTTATATTATTATATATTATATATACHGTGAAAAAATATTTTTAATATTTAYGATTTATACTTTTATAGTTATTTATTTTTATATATATATATATATATATATATTATATTTTGGGGTTAGGCTGTCCAAATTGCACTGTATAATATGTTTTGAATTAATATATTCTTGGGTTTTTTTGAAATATATATATATATATATACATGTATTAATTCAACCTTAATCTGAGTTTTTGGACAAGAAAGAGGGTAAACAGTTGAAATTCCATTCTAAAACCTATTTTTTTTTGTCTTTTCATGGCTTATGATCTGTCAAATTTGTAGTTTTCTTTATTGGTTTTGATTGTTTATCTTAAAACTCAAGTTTCTTGGTTCTTTGTTCTTGGTGTAAATCGAATACATTTGTGGAGTCGTTTAAATATGTTGGATTTTAAATATATTGGATTTTAAACTATCATACAATTTTTTTCACCGATAGTCTGTAATTGGAACCATAACTCTTATTTATTCAAATTGTATTAATATGTAAAGACCAAGTGTAACCTATATCATCGTTAAATTTTATCTTATAAAACCAATGGAACTTCAAAATCGTTAAAATTCATGGCTCCCGCCGCATTGCGCGGGTACACAACTAGTTAAATTATAATAAAAATTTTGAATTAAAAAAAATACACAAATAAAAACTTTTAAACAGTTAATTTGATACTAATATTAATATATTTTTTGCAAACTTTATATGATATTTTCAAATTTATATTTTATTCAAAAATAAAAACATTATGACTTTCTCAAAACTACATAAAAATCATATTATATCGACATGGATAAAAAATAAAATAAATTATTAAAATGAAAATATGTCTTGATGCATTGAATGAGTACCCTTCTAGTCATTACAAAACCACTTAAACCCTATTTCGATGAATATTAATTTGTTTATATAACAACATTTGATCTTCCAATAATTGAAACCAAACTTTCGGTTTCAATCGATTAGTCGTATGAGTAATTACATAAAATCGTTAAGTAAAATCCAATAGAATAAAACAACACAAAAATGTATAATTGTGGATTTACGTTCTTTCATTTCATAATCGTGTTGATTTACATGGGTATATAATTAATATGATGTAAAAACATACATACATATAACTCAACAATATATCTGAATCTTTAACCGTACTTTTTACAACGAGTATAAGATAAAAAGACGGGTTTAATTGGTATTAAAAAACTTCACACATATAATATCAATAGTTACTTTTTACATTTTCCATATACCATTTAACTTGATTTTGTGTACATAATTCTCTATTTAAACTACTAAAAAAAGCTAAAACTTAATAGGAAAAATCTAAAAAGACTCAATGGACTTTAATATTTGGAATGATTAAGTCTTTGAACAATTTTTTTGGAACAAATAAGTCTTTGGACATTTCAAACATGTTAAATAATTCATGGACTTTTTAAAACATGTTAGATACATTCTTATGACCTATATAACTGATTAATATTGTAAAATAATGAAAAAAGTCTGAAAAAACCAATGTACTTTCATATTTTGAACGATTAAGTTTCTAAACATTTTTTGAACCAAAAAAATACTTAGATCTATAAAAATAAACAAATATACCAAAAAATTACTTACAT